TGGTAAATGCAACAACAAAGAGGGCTGGGAAATATAGGAAATGTGAGTAGACAACAATGTTAGATTATTGAGTGACTGTTACTTCAAGGATATATACTGTGTTAAACAGCGGTGCAATTTGACATATTTATATTAGTAGTACCATTACATTATCTGTGTCTGATTTATGTATTTTCATAGAATTCTTCTTGCAATTTTAGAAATTGAATTAAAAAATCCTTTTTATTTGGTCTGATACTTTCTGTAAAGTTTTTCAGTTATCTGTGATAGAAATTTGTTGACTTGAGTCTGATACTTTCTGTAAAGTTTTTCAGTTATCTGTGATAGAAAATTGTTGACTTGAGTCACTAATGCATAACATTCTTCAACAATAGATAGATTTTGATTTGCTTTAAAATACCACACTCCTTTACTATTTTGGTTGTTTATATTATTTTTAAGGACATCTATTTTTTTTAGTACCCCAAGACCTTCAACACGGCCCCAGAAAGCCCAAGAATTACAAAGCATTTTAGAAAAAATATGTCCCAAATAATCTAACATGCTAACAGAGAATGTTGGAGGCAGAAACAGATAAAACAAGAGGTGCTTCTGGAAAATACCTGGTGAAAATACTTAGTAATGACCAAATGAGTTGTTGAAAAGAAAGTCACAGTCTTAGAATAGATCATTCACAATATTATCCATATGGATATTACATAATTCTGGAATAAAAATAATCTTCCCCTTCCCAAAATGTAACGAAAATACAATCCACTTTGTAGACAGGTATTATTTGATGAGTATTAATGTGGTGTGCCAACTAACAGATTAAAAAAGAACAGCTTTGTATTAAATTCCCACAGAGATCAAGATCCCTGATGTAAACATTTAAGGTACTTTATACCCTTAGCCACAATTCTCCAAAGAGCTTCTGGTAGAAATAAAATGTCTCCATAGTTTTGCAACATTATGGCAACAGCCTTTCAGATCCCTCAAGGGCATCATATACCTGGTACGCTGCTTTTGTGTAAAGAGATCTTAATAAAATTCAAACAGCGTGAAATGGAAAGTCTGGAAAAAATGATGAGGTTTCAGAAACTGAAACAAAATATGATCTTTTTGTTGGTTTCAGAGGATGAAACATCCTACAGGGAAAAAAAAAAAACAAGGAAGCAGGCAACGGGGTGTGATTAAGATTCAGGTGTTAAGCTGCTTGTTTTTTCCAAGCAAAACCTAGCCACCGCCGCTGCCAAGAGCAGGGTCTGTACTGTGTGTGTGAGCCCTGGGTGGAGGCAGCGGTGTGGGCTGCGGCACAGCCCCGGCACCTCGACCACCACAGGACAGTGCCTTGGTGCCTGGTTCCGAACCACAATGGGTGACCATGGCAGGCGTGTCATGCCAACGTGGGAAAGCCATTGATGGCAGCCTCCCCATGTCCGGATTGTGGGCTCCCCTGGCCGGGGATGACATGCACACAGCCACTCAAAACTGGAGGTGAAGGAGAATTATGGGCATCATTTTTAAAGTGCTGTATTCCCCTAACTGCTTTGAAGTTTAACAGGACTTAAAGGCACCAAGAATGAAGCAATCGGTATCTGGCATGTCTGAGCTCTTTAAAAGCAAAAATTGTTAGAATAAAACTTTCTTTCATCCATCTAAACTTGTTATTACTAATCTGTTTCCCAAGTAGATGAATCCCTTTGCCATAGCGAAGTTTTCCTGTTCAGCCCCTCAGGATGTTATTGCTTTAGTCAGATGAAAATCTGATTTTAGACCTTCTAGTCTAGTCTAGTCTAGACTTTTCTATTTTCTGTTCTATTTTATTCTAGTTATGACACCAAGAGCAGCGACATGTTTTAGGGTTAGTTTCAGTCTTTCTAGAACAAGGAAAACCAAACTAAAATAGAAGCACTCCTATGCATGATGGAGATGGGGACAGGGAAAGGGGTAAGTGTGTTCCCTTAAGCTTAAGAATTTTGAAAAAAAAACAGAGGACCTTTACTTATCTGGCCAATGGCAATGGACAAGCCTATAAGGTGAAACACACTTCTTGTTCTATTTAGAATCATAGAATCATAGAATGCTTTGGGTTGGAAGGGACCTTGAGAGATCATCGAGCCCAACCCCCCTCCAGTGAGCAGGGATTGAACCTGCAAAGTTGGCGTTATTAGCACCATGCTCTAACCAACTGAGCTAACCCGGCTGGTCAAAACATAGTCAGCAGAACAAATAAACTATTTTCTCTACAGCCTCTATTAGATGCCAGATAACTGACCATTTAAAGCTACAGTTTCAGGCTTAGCCTTGCTAATGTGTTGCTTTATTATGACTGGAAGTGAAATAACTGTGGGTAAATTCAAATTTCTCAAAGCACACATGGTTGTTTAGTTGCATCCTTTTTCAGTTACTATGAATGATATTTCAAAATCAATCAAATAATTGCTGCTTGCAACTTTTCTCAAAACATTTAAAAAACTCTGTTTTCTACCAACCTTTTAAAATGAAAAATGACCTTTTCCAAAGTGTAGATCAAAACTTGTCATAATTATTATTTTGCTTTTCTGCAAAAGTTTTCTGCATTTTTGATACTTAATAAACAAAAACTTGATTATAATTTTATGTCAATTAAATTACATCTTCATAACTTTTACATTTTCTAGAATCATTTTAGAGAAAAGACAGATGAAAGGCGTGGGCCTTTTCTTTTCCTGATACTCTCGCAGTTACACACTACAGCCCAACCAACTCAGTAGGACCTTCACTGTCAAAAAATTTCTCTGATTTTGTGTACTGTAATTTTTTGATGAGAGACTTAACAGTTTGCAGACGCTTGAAAAAGCTGATATTAGCCTCTCTATTTTTGTGTTTTCCAACTTTAAAACAGGAA